ACACCTATCTTAGTACAGAAAACGGGTGGTAGTTGCAGGTTAGTACAAGATATGAAAGCAGTGAATCCGAGGACGAAAATCTTATTTCCTATGGTCTCAAATCCTTATACATTGCTGAATAGCATCTCTCCCGAGGACACCTGGTGATGCTGTTGAGGCAGGACGGGAATGAAATTACTCCACGTGAGAAGGCGAGAGAGTATAACTCTGATTTATTTCAAAATGCATCGCTCTTTATACAGAGCTTCGTCCAGGCCAATTCTATTGGTCCTGAAGTGAAAACACCTCAAACATTGGTGTGCAGTGAATGACGCACAGTAGCAAAACCTAACTATAAACAATGTGAACAAGAGAGATAACCTTATTTACATTCTTTTTCAGCACTTTCTCAGGCTTCTGCCTGCTTAGAAACTTTCTGTTTCTCTCTTTTACTGAATCTGAGACCGACACACCTGGTACAGCGTAATAGACTTTAAAGGATACCTTCTGGACTTGCCCGCTAGCCAAAGAGAGTTGAGATTATTTTACATTTCAATGGGAGGACCCAGAAACAAATAGAAAACAACAACTTAGGTGGACATCTTTTCCTCACGGCTTTGTAGATTCACCGAACCTATTTGGTCAGGCCCTTGAAAAATTATTGAGTTTGTGCCAGTAGAAGGGACTAAATTACTGCAATATCTGGACAATCTACTGGTGGCCTGTCCCAAAGAGGAGGATATATGGGCAGGTACCATAGCATTATTAAACTTTTTGGGAGACAAAGGATTAAAGGTCTCAAAATCTAAGTTACAGTTCACGGAGCCTGAGGTTAAGTACCTGGGACACTGGTTAACAAAAGGTAAGAAGAAATTAGATCCGGACAGAGTAGCAGGGATTATCACCTTACCCCCTCCACAAACAAAAAAGGAGGTTAGGCAGCTGCTGGGACTTCTAGGTTACTGCAGGCAATGGACTGAGGGATACAGTGTGAAGGTAAGGCTTCTTTATGAAAAGCTTACCACAGATAGGCTAAAATGGACAGAGCAGGATGAAGAGGGTTTCAAGGAGTTGAAAGAAACCCTTATGGCAGCTCTGGTATTGAGTCTCCCTGATGTAAAAAGACCATTTCAGCTATTTGTGGACGTCAGTAATCACACTGCCCATGGAGTGTTAACTCAGGACTGGGCAGGGACAAAGAAACCAGTGGGGTATGTATCAAAACTTTTAGACCCTGTGAGCAGGGGGTGGCCTACTTGCTTGCAAGCAATCGTGGCAGTGGCAATATTAGTAGAAGAAGCCAAAAAGGTGACCTTTGGGGCACCGTTGGTAGTTTACACTCCCCACAGTGTAAGGAGTATTTTGTAGCAAAAAGTGGACAAATGTCTCACTGACGCTAGGCTTCTAAAGTATGAGGCTATATTAATCCACTCCTGTGATTTGGAATTACGAACAACCACGGCACAAAATCCACCTCAGTTCCTGTTTGGGGAAGCCTCAGGAGTGCCTATCCATGATTGTGCTGAAGTGATGGAGCTGCAAACCAAAATAAGGCCAGATTTGGAAGAAGAAGAGTTAGAAAAAGGGGAGAAATTGTTTGTGGATGGATCAGCAACAGTCATAGATGGGAAAAGGAAATCAGGATATGCAGTAGTGTGGGGGTCTCAGATACAGTCAAAGAGAGAAACTGAGAGTTTCTAGCCAGGCAGAAGCCTGGGAAAGAGTTGAAAAAGAATGTAAATAATTCTTTACCTCTCTTGTTATTCACATTGTTTATAGTTAAGTTCTATCACTGTGCATCAAGCACTTTCACCAATGGTGTGGGTTGTTTTCACTTCAGGACAGATGGAGTTGGTCCTCACGAAGCTCTGTATAAAAGAGCGGTGTATTTTGAATAAACCGGAGTTTTACTCTCACAACCTTCTGGTCAGTCTTCTCATTCCCGTCCTGCCTCGACAGCGACATCTGGTGACCCCTCGTGAAACTACAGCCTGGGCTGGCAACCTGAACTTCAGCGTCTTGCGGGGGGGGGGGGGTCTTGGCGGCACGGCACCGTGCCACCAGACTGTGGATGTGAACGGATGCCTTTGCCTTCTTAAGAAAGGTAACGCTGGAACTGCACGCCTTCTGTAGATGGCTTGGTCCTATTTGGACTGCAGATCGGCTTTTAAAAGCCGGGACTGTACAGGACAGGTTCTCCCTGGAGGAGCGGACTGTCTTGTCTCTAAAAGTGGACATTTGCTGATGGGAGGTTTCATAGCAATGGGGAATCAGCCGTCTGCAGCTGATCGGACGGTCTTGTCCGCCTGGCAAGCCTCTATCCCGCAGATGGGGGCTTGGGTCTCTGATGACGAACTGGTACGGCTCTTAACCTGGACTCAGGACCATGGGTTTTCTGCGGACATTGGGCGGGCCTTTGATTGGAAGCTCTGGCGCGATTTGGGCTGGTGCCCACACTGTTTAAGGTCTGGGGCCGTGTGTATATGCCCCTGCGGGAGGGAGCCCCGGGGAGCACGGACTCCGAGGGTGTTCTCTCTGGGAGTGACGATGCTCCTTCTGTATGCAGCGGTGTCTCGGGAAGCGGGGACAGGCAGGCAGGCCGGGTGACGCCCAGTCCCTCCGTGGTGCGGAGCGGGATGTCGGGACATGATGGGACGCCCCGCAAGCCTTCCGTGTCGCCGGGGACTCATGCTGGTCCCAGCGCACCCCAACCCTATGGCTATACTCAGCCTGGGAATTCTTTGCCAGCCAATCAGCCGCAGATGGCACAGCAGATTGTACCCCGGCCGGCTGAGCAGGCGCAATCTGCCTTGGGCACGGTGCCAGTGCCAGCACCTGCTTTTCAGGCGGCGCTGGGAGTGCCATCGTCGCATCTCTCGGGCTCGGCCCACCCGTCTTTCCACTGCCTGTTGGGGGCTGTCCCGTCTTCACCACAACAGCCTGGAGCCCGTCCCTCGGTTGACCAGATGGCTCAGCTGGTTTAGGCCTTGTTGGGGCCCCTCTCCAGTCTGCAGCTGGGAAGAGGGGTGGTGTAGCCCGCGGCGCCGGGTGCTGCGGGGGCAGTGGCCCCTCTGGCTCCTTCGTTATCAGCTATGGAGCCTGCGCAGATGTATGAGCCTCACCCTCAGCTACCACTGGGGGCAGGGATGCAGCCTTTGGTCCATCCCCTGGCACACCCCCCGCCCCCCGCGGGGGCTCCAGTTCTACCGGCAAGGCCAGCTCAGCTGCTTCCTAGTCCGTCCCGCTGTGAGATGTGTGCTGCGACTGACTTGATTTCTTTCACTGTGCCGCCGTCGATCGTTCAGCAGCATGTTTTGGGGGGCACTTTGGTGTCGTTTTCGGCCCTCCCTGCCCCGGGACTGATGCCGGCGCCGGGGGCGGTGCCTGCTTTCCATGCCACGCCTGCTGTGGTGCCAGCGCTCCCAGCGATGGGGCCCAGCGCCCCGCTCTCCGCACCCGCGGCTGGAGCGGTTCTGCCTTTCATCACGCCCACAGCTTCGGTGGCTTCAGCGGCACCTCTGGCTCCTGTCCCCCCCCCCCCCCCCCCCCCACTGTTTCAGTGGCAGCACCTCTGCCTCTCGCCCCGCCTGCTGCTTCGGCGGTGGTGGCAGTTCTGCCTCCTGCCCCGCCCGCTGTGGCTTCGGTACCTGTGAGGTCTGCTGCGCCCCAGCAGCCAGTGCTGTTCCTGCCTCCGATGACTGCAGCTTCAACGCACATCACATCCACAATGTTGCAAGCTCCTGCTGATCCTTTCATATTGCCGTCTGCGATGGAAGGATCCACGGAGCTGCTGGTGATGGTTCCAGTCCCCGCCCCATCACCAGCGGCTGGCCCTCCTGGTTTGGGGGCTGTTGGCTCGGGGGCCGTGCCCGGTTCTTCGGCTTCGCAGTCGATAGCTGCTTCCCCAGCCTCGGTGTCTCCCGTCAGCCCACCCTCCCCCGTGGATTGCGGACTGTCCCACACACCCTTGTCACAGGAGGCAGGTATTGACAGCAATGCTTTGATCCGCTTGATTCCATCATGGGGGCCAGACCGTGTGTCGGAACACCAACACCAACGAGGGCGGTGAGCGTCCCAGAGAGATCTGTGGATGCTGCCTCCCTGTCAGGTGTCTGTGCGACCGATAAATCCCTGTCACTTTTGGGATGCAGTCAGGCAACGCGCTTTGGAAGCGTGTGATTGGGATTTGTTAGAGCGGGTGGGAAAGCCTGGTGGTGCGGTTTTGAACCCGCCTCTCAATGACGCAGAGACCGTACCTAGTGGCCAGTTGTTTCCTCTGTCCTCCCCAGGGGCAGCACAAGGGGGTGGGGGCGACGATTCTTCAGTGCAATGTAAGCTGCGTCAGAGGCTGGAAGGCCTCACAAGGCCCACATCTGAGGCCTAGACTGGAGTAGCTCAAATCTCATTCCAAACATCAATCATGCCCTCTCTCAGAAATGCTGCAACAGGCCGCTTTTCTTGCAAAAAGACGAAACCACAGCATGGGAGGCTCCGCACTTACTTGGCAGGTCTGGAATAACCATCCCACCTCTCATTCACACACATTTATCCCCCCCTTTATCCGCCCAATCCCAACAAATACTTTACCTATCCTTAATCCTCAGGTCTTTGTTTTCATTCACACTTTAGTCTTAGGGGCCAATTACCACGGGTTTAGGGAATATTTTCCCTTTTCTTTGTTTTATTGTATCTTTTTGTCCACTGGTTGCAACGTGCGTCTGTGGGTCACCCAGAGGAAGCAGAGCGGGGCTGCCAAATGGGCAGGGCGTGCCTCCCTCACTCAGAATCCTATGGGGCCCCAGCAGCTAGGTATTATTCATGGGTTTTGGCACCAAAATTGTGAATAACGCCAATCACTTTTAAATATTTAATAGTAATAAAATGGTTATAAAAATAGAGTAATAAGAATTTGGACAATCAGAGTTAGGACAATAAAGGACAATAGAAAACAAAGAACTACGGACTGTTTGGGTGCTTTCCTAGGGCAATTAAACCCAAAAAGCACACACAGTAACAAAGGATTAACGTTTATAAGCAGTTGCCTGTTGCATATTCATATATCTCATACATGATGCATAAATTCTTTTCAAAATAGGGTGTCCTCTGGTTATCGTCAACTTCTTCCCCTTAATCCTCGTGGCTCCTTAAAGACAGAGAGGAGGTGGAAGCATGTTTGTCTTTTCCGATAAGGAGGCAGTAACTCGTGGGTGTCTTGTTGCTGTTATCTCTGTGCAAAGAATTTCTTGATTATCTTATCCCTTTCTCGAGCTAGTTAAAAAAAAATCTTACATCACATAGTTTCTATTTTAACATTATGTTTTAATCTAAAAATATATTTAACACACTACTTAAAAAGGATTAATACAGTACTACAAAATAACTTTCAAACATAACACACATAGTATTCAATTTAATATTTGCAAAGAGCCAATCATTTAATATGTATTTTTCACACCTGGCATCCAGCCAAGGTCAAACCCACCACACAGTTGAGTGTAAAATATAGCAACTTAAGATGCCAAACATCCTTGCCAATATTAGCTTTGCATAGGAATGAAATAGTACTGTACCTTTTATCCTTTCTTATCCCAATCAAGTACAATAGAAAAAGGATTCTGCATGGAAAACTGAATGTTTCCAACTTCTGTGGTTCACGCTCAGTCAAAGTGCTTTTCTGTGAAGAAAGCAGCAATTGTGTGAAGAAAATGCTTAGAAAAGCAAAAGACCAAATCCTGAAAGTATTGTCACGAAAATTGTTCCACCAACACCAGAGGTTTATGTCCAAAAAGGAGACAGAGGAGTCTTGTAACTTTATTCAAATAAAGGGAGAGGTCATGGGGCATTTCCCCTGGAGTGTTCCAGATTTTTGGAGGACACAGCCTCATTTTTATCCTAATTTCCCAACTGTATTTTCCTTTCTATTTCCCCATTGGCTGAGGTACTTGAGGGGTACAGACTCCCTGAAACACCTAATACCTAAGACTCCCTTCTAATGTATACCCCCCTCCCTCCTTTTTTATTTTGTTTGTGTCACTCAGTGGAATTCATATGGAATTTATGGTTCTTCCCATTGTTTCTTTCATCTCTCAGTATCCAGTTTTATTTATCAGAGGACCTACAGTTTGTTTGTAAAGACAAATCTCTCTCATTCCACTTATCAATCAGTGGAATCCTTTCCATTGTTTCTTTTACCTCTCAGTGCTAGTTTTATCTACCAGCAGACCCACAGTTTGTAAAGAAAATCCCTCATTCCTTTCACAATATTCAAGAGTACTTCAGGAGAGGGCTCTACACAAGTCTTCTGTAGAAGAATTGTTTTGGTTTGAAAGCAAAACGAGTGAGGAACTCCACGTCAGAAATACAATTTATTGGGAAAAGGGAAAAGCAAAAAAATACATGGAATAATACAAAAGGAATACCACTGACTAAGTCAGTATATAACCTGATACCCCTTTGGCCAGCGTGTTGGTAGCAGTCTTTTTGGAGTGGTAGATGGGGTTTTGTTGGAGCAGTGGTCCTGTAGAAAAGGTGTAGTTAGTCTAGTGGAAAACCCCAGCTGTGTCTTGGAAACATGTGGGAAGGTTGACTGCTCTGCCCAAAACCCCAGAATATATCTAAGTGGGGATGCTTAGTTCCTCCCCCCTGGGTGGAGCATCTCACAATGGGCTGATGTCATTCTGAGTCATGTGGTGGGTCCCTGACTACTTGTTAAACAGAAATAGCTCCTGGAGGGAATTATCTCTGAGTCATGTGGTGATACAATGATGGGCCTATTAACAGGAGATAAGGAAAACTTCTCAGAAGACAACTGCTATGCAGATGGCAATAGAAAACATCTTCCTTATCAATCTCGGACAAGAACTTACTCTGCCACAAGAACCACAGTCCATTTGGCATACATAAATGAGATCTCTATACAGTCCTCACCTTGTTTTTATGAAAAATTATTCACAACTGGACCACCGTACCATAGCATTTGGACAAAAAGGAAATAGAAGTTTTCTTTGTTCTTGTGTCTTTCAACTTATCAGTTATAAACCTTCCAATATATTGATAAATATACATATTCAATACACATTTCATTAAAATATAAGCATTTATATACACATGTTACGGTGAGCTCCTGGACACCCTTTTGTCCCCCCTTTCCTAGGGCCTCTGTGGCTCTGATCATAACCCCTGGATCCTCCTTCCTGCCCCAACGGGGTTGGCAGGAAGCCAGGAGAGCCCACCCTGTCCAAAACCTATATAGACCCCTGAGACTTCCTGCTCTTTCTTTTTTGCCCCGCTCTCCATGGACACCACAGAATAAAGAGGGCTGTTCCAACACCCTGGGTAAGAGCCTCTTTTGAATACTTTTCCCTCTCCTGGTATTTCCTCCCCTCACAGCCCCATATCTCTGAGCTGGTCGGATCCTAGAGGGGGCTGCGTGGAGGGGGGGAAAACCATAGAAATTACAGTTGGCGCCCCAACGTGTGCTGCCTCTGAGCCCACGAAAAAGCTGGATCCCCTATTTCAGGGGAAGTCAAAAGCTTTTGGGACAGTCAACTGCCCTAGTACTCTAGCTGCCTTTAAAAGCTTTGAGTGACGGGGAGCAGTCGGGGACCTCTGCCTGAGTACCCCAGGAAGAGCCGACTGGAGAGGGAATCCCCAGAGGTTTTCACACATGAATCCCGCAGTCGCAGGCTTGGTAAATTCTCCGATCGCGGAACCCGGGACCGCGCCTGGCTGGGAGAAGTTACCATAAGTGACTGCGGAAGGCTGCTTGCGAGGGGGGTGCCAGGGACCCTCTGCAAGTCAGCATGGAACCGGTGGGCTGCGCATACCCACGTTCCAGGGGGAATAGACACGGGAGGAGCGGGCTGAAGCCGCCCCGGCAGCTGCAGGAAGAGCGCCCCTCCCCCTGTGCCCCCCGCTCGGGTTTTCCACGGAGGGAAATTCGAATAATTCGTGCTGTGCTATTAGCTCTGGTGGAGAGTAGACCAGTGATACGATTAAGATCATGGGTACTAACCTGTCACTTGAACAAAAGAGTATACTAACACATCTTAGCAATAAATTAAAAGATGTATCATTCCATAACAAGCTTCTCCTGCGTTTTGTGTGCTGGCTAAAAGCAGAAATACCAAATTTTACTGTGCGAGAACTGAATTAGCTTTCTTTTTGGAATCAAATTGGACAGATATTAACTTTAAAAGTCGAAAATGGTGAACATAAAGTTTCTCGATTTATTCCGATATTTTTACAAGCACACAAAAAGATTTTAGAAGCAGAAAAAAGCATGCAAAAGGAGAAACACAGTTCTAACACTCCCTTTTCCCCTTCCTGCCCACCTCCCAAATATCCCAGCCCTGAAAACCCCTCACCCACCCCTTATTCCCCTCTAACACCTTATTTTTCCGAGAAATATAGTCCGGAGTTCATGTCAGGGAGCACTGCAGTGTCTCCAGAGCACACGCGGCCAGATCATGGCGGAGGCCATGCGCTACGACCGGCGCTGGCCGCTCCACCCCCCACTCCGCCTCCCACTTGCATTCCTTTGATTCCCCCGCCCTCCACCTCCACCTCCCTCTCCGCCCCCACCCCCTCCTCCCTCCCCTCCTCCGAGGCTTCCTTATCTTTCATGGAAACACCCCACCCTCCTTATCAGTGCCAGCCCCGGTGTTGCCCCGGTAACAGGGGCGGGGCCGGTCCCTGCACTCCTCTGAGCCCCAGCGCCGAGGACGGCAGGGCGGGGGCAGGGGACGGCAGCCCAGCGGCTCAGAGCCGGGGCGGGGACCGAGTCTCCACCGCGGAGCAGACAGACCGGGGCGGGGGGGCGAGCTGCCCCTCACCAGGGCGGGGGGGGCGCGGGGGGGACATAAGCCTGTTACTACCGAGGAATCTATACCATCTGTAGCTCCAGTGGTTTATTTAGGGAGAAGAAATGGTACAAGAACATACCAACCTCTCCCATACAGGGACAAAACAGAAATCTGTAAAGTTCAGGGAGAATTTGGGAGGTCTAGTGAGATTTTTAAAGGTATGCTTAGGGCAACCTTCAATTCAAATGAAATGGTGCCGAGAGATATAACTGATTTGTTTAAATGTTTACTAACATCCTCTGAATATGAAATATGGGAAAGTAAGTGGAAATTGGCTTTGGAAACAGTTTTGCAATAAATACAGCGTACACCCAGTGAGGCCATGGACGCTGATGGCCAGCCCCTTACAATACATCATTTATGTGGTACAGGGGACATACAATGTCCAGAAAAACAAACCAGACTGTTATCTAGATCGGTCTTGGAAAAAATCTGTACTGCTGCAGAAAAGACTCTGTATCAATTACCAGGCACTGAGGTTGAATGCAGCTATATTAACATCAAACAGTTTCCTTCTGAGAGTTTTTTACAGTTTGTGGATCGTTTGAGAAGCCAAGTCGAAAAACAGGTGCAACACACCAGTGTGCAAACAGAGTTGATTAAAGAAATGGCTCAGAGAAATGCAAATGAGACCTGTCGTAGGATTCTTCTCAGCCTTCCTCTTGATCCAGCACCTACTCTTGCCAAAATGATAGAAGCATGCGCCAAGAGAGCAGAGCTGCTTGATAATCCTGTCAGTCATAAAGCATCTGCAGAAATACAACCTGCTGCACGAAGCCCAAGGAAGCCACCCAGATCATCACAACAGCTGCAGCACATCATCTGCCTGCGTTGCAAGAAACCAGGACACTTTGCCAGAAACTGTCCTCAAAACCAGAACCAGAGACAGATCAACAAACAAAAAAAACTAAATGCACAGCGCATGCCCGCCGCTACACGCAAAGATATAAATGTAGCAGGACCAATATGTGACAATGCCTCTCTTAACAAATAAGGGGGAGGGTGGATACTATGGTGGGGGGGGGGAGAGAAAAATAAAAATGTGAAATGTATTACTAACAAGGTTTGGCCGCCACTAGGCCAGCCACGTCTAGTGACTGCCAAAGGATTTCATTTCAGAAACACTGATTGGAAAGTCATTATAGTAGACCTGCCAAACAACTCACAAGACCTGCAGGCGTACGATATGGAACTGGACAGTGAGTATTTTGTTATTGGGGACACAGCATACACACCTCCTGAGATTGAAATAGTTCCCATGACTACTAAGGGAAAAATATCCAGCCTTATGCTGTTGGCACGTTGCTTGCACCCTCCATTCTATCTAGAAAAGGGGCAAATTCTGGCACAAGCCATTCCCATCCCAGTGGAAATCACAGTAGAAGGAAAATCTCCAGAAGTCTACTGGGCAGAAGTAGTAGGAGAGGATAAACCCTCCATGGCATGCAACCTAGCACATGGATCAGAGCACCTTCAGGTGGAAGGGGTTCTGGAGACAGGTGCAGACATCACGGTGATACCCAAAACCATGTGGCCATCACACTGGGAATTGCAACCTGTGGCAGGCAAACTTCAGGGTATAGGAGGAACCACATTGGCAAAAATTTCTAAAAATCTAGTGCAAATTGAGGGACCTGATGGGAAATCAGCAAGCGTTTGCCCATTTGTGGCAGACTATAAGGCTCCTCTGTGGGGCTGAGACACCATGTCCCAGTGGGGAGTCCAATTAATCATTCCTAGGACACCCCAGGATTTTCAGAAGTAGCCGCTGTGGAGCGCCATGCCCACAAGTTAAAGTGGTTGGATAACACCCCAAAGTGGGTAGCACAGAGGCCTTTGAGTAGAGAAAAACTCGAGGCGCTTGAGAAACTTGTGGAGGAGCAGGTAGCTCAAGGACACCTGCAAGAGACAGACAGCCCTTGGAATTTCCCAGTCTTTGTAATAAAAAAGCCTGCGAAGGACAAATGGAGATTGATCCACGATCTCAGAGAGATAAACAAAATTGTGGAGGACATGGGACCTCTCCAACCAAGGATGCCGAGCCCAGCTATGCTTCCCCAGGACTGGAAATTGGCTGTGTTAGATATAAAGGACTGTTTCTTCCAAATTCCATTGCACCCTGAAGATGCCCCGAGGTTTGCATTCTCAGTTCCCACGGTCAATAGAGAAGCCCCGATGAAACGCTACCACTGGAAAGTTTTGCCCCAAGGTCTAAAATCCAGCCCTTTCATATGCCAACAGTATGTAGCAGCACTACTGTCTCCAGTATGTGCAGAGAGAAAGGATGCCATCATCCTACACTATACGGATGACGTGCTTGTGTGTGCTCCCAATGACTCTATACTCCAATATACACTTGACCTAGTGATTAAAGTTTTAACCTCTGTTGGATTCAAATTGCAGGAAGACAAAGTTCAAAAAATGCCACCTTGGAGATACCTGGGCCTGGAAATTTCTGCAAGGACTATTGTCCCACAGAAATTGGAGATAAATTGCAACCCCAGAACATTAGCAGACCTCCACTCGCTGTGTGGGTCTTTAAATTGGGTAAGGCCCTGGCTAGGCCTCACAAATGAAGATCTGGAACCTCCTTTCAATTTATTGAAGGGGGAGAGGGAGCTGGCCTCCCCCAGGGAACTGAGTCCAGAGGCAAAGACAGCAATTGAAAAGGTACAGAAGGCCTTGTCAGAAAGGCAGGCACACAGGTGTGACCCAAATCTACCTTTCCAGTTCATTGTTCTAGGAAAGCTGCCACACCTGCACGGGTTGATTTTCCAATGGACCGAGGGGCAGAAGGACCCACTCTTAATCATAGAATGGGTTTTCCTATCACTACAAAGATCCAAAACCATCACTAGGCCACAAGAGCTGATAGCAAAGCTAATTCAGAAGGCCAGGGTGAGGTTGTGCGAATTAGCAGGGTGTGACTTTGCATGTATTCACCTCCCAGTCAGGCTTTCTGAGGAGGGAAGGAACTCTCCTGAGAGACTGACCAAAGGGATGTTTGAGCATCTGCTCCAGAGCAGTGCCAGTCTCCAGCTATCTCTGAACAGCTATAGGGGACAAATATCAGTCCATGCCCCGTCTCACAAGTTGTTCAATGAGGAATTCCACCTGATTCCTCAAGAAAAAAGGAGCCGGAGGGCGCTCAGGGCTCTCACAGTGTTCACTGATGCCTCTGGGGATTCCCACAAGTCGGTGATGACTTGGAGAAATCCACAGACTCAGCACTGGGAAGCTGATGTTGAGCTTGTGGAGGGATCCCCCCAGGTGGCGGAACTGGCTGCAGTGGTGAGAGCTTTTGAGAAGTTTTCCGAGCCGTTCAACTTGGTGACAGACTCTGCCTATGTGGCAGGTATAGTGTCCAGGGCGGAGCAGGCTGTGCTCAGAGAAATAGAAAATGAACATCTCTTCAGGTTACTCTCAAGGCTAAGTTATTTAATCTAGCACCGAGAACATCCATTCTTTGTGATGCATGTGAGGTCACACACCGACTTGCCAGGGGAGATTGCAGAGGGGAACCGAAAAGCAGACTCCTTCGCTGCACCAGTTGAAAAGGCAAGTCTCCCTGATGTTTTCCAACAGGCAAAGCTGAGTCACGAGCATTACCACCAGAATGTACCAGGTTTGATTCAACAGTTCCAGCTAACACGGAGTCAGGCCCGAGCCATTGTGACCAACTGTCCCAATTGTCAGCTCCAGGCCGTGCCATCGCTGGGCATGGGAGTAAACCCCAGAGGCATTAGCAGCTGTGAGGTATGGCAGACAGACATCACACACATTCAGAGTTTTGGTTGCCTTGAATGCGTTCATGTGAGCGTGGACACATTCTCAGGTGCAGTGTATGCCTCTGCCCATATAGGACAAAAGGCTGCACATGTCAAACAACACCTAGTGCAAGCATTTTCAGTACTGGGGGTGCCAAAAACGATCAAAACAGATAATGGCCCAGCGTATGTATCCAAGGAGTTCCTGGAATTTCTCCAACAGTGGGGAGTGGAACATAAAACTGGCATTGCCCACTCCCCCACAGGTCAAGCTGTAGTCGAGCGTGCACACCAGACGCTCAAGCAGGTATTGAAAAGACAAAACAGCTCAGCTCCGTGGATGTCTCCACGAGAAAAGCTCTGTAAAGCTATGTTTACTATCAATTTTCTGAACTGTTCATTCGAAAATGAGTCCACCGGTTGTGCGTCACTTTAACAGTGGCAACCAGTTCAAATTGTCACAGCATCCACTGGTCTTGATTAGGGATCCAGAAACTTGGGAAAACAAGGGTCCCTATGGACTTGTAACCTGGGGTCGTGGCTATGCGTGTGTAGCTACTCCCTCAGGCCCTCGATGGATTCCCCAGAAGTGGGTGAAACCTTTTGTCCCCAAGAATCCAGGTCAAACAGAAGGGGACAAGAAGCAAGTATCTGATGCTTCAAAGAGAAGACGCCGCCGGATGGGAGAAGAAGAAAGTTCCTAGGCATGGATTCCTTCCGGCAGAAACAGAAATTTTAACATGTTCTTAAAATGTTTGTTTTTCCCTTTTAGAGAAAACCTACCTTCCACTCAACCCTGTGATCAACCCCATGCGAGTTGTCATCCTGCAAATGCTGAAGAGAATGTTCAAGGGACGGGGATTCACGGGGTGGTGGAGATCTGT